TGAAGAAACAACGGCTGTACATCAAGCCTTAGTCGGATGTGTAAATCGTGGAGTATGTAGAAATACATCAACTAGGCTGGGGATCCTGTTCGGAAAGCCCATTTTACACTTCTAATAGTGGTTACACCTCCTTTTACTTCAGCAGATTTCGAGGTATGTATTTGTTAAACATTACGCATTACCTAAGTCTTCTTAGGTTCATTTTCACTCCTACTTTGACGTTGCGTCGCTTGGACTCTTTGTTGGATTTTTTCTCGTGACTTTGAGACGTTGAGAAGATAATGGTTTTGTCCATAAACTACAGATGGCTCCCATAGTTCCCACATATGTTTGGCTTCTGATCTTCCGAAAGTTGTTTCTTGAAGCCCACCGGGTTGGTCTGAATAACTTCGGTGATATTGTGTCTCCCAGTGATGCACCCTCTTCGATTTTCAACTTTATTCTGCCTTCGTGAAGCTTCACTATAGCGGTTGCATTTTTTTAAATGTATCTTTTTCATCGATTTTGCGGATCCTCAGAGAGTTCAATTTTAAACAGATGTAGACTAAGTGATGAGCGTCTTCTTGAAATCGAGAAATCCCACGCAGGGAGGAAGCCGATATTCGTTGCTACTCTGAATTACTTGCTGTACCAATGGATATGACCCATCGTGCTAACTCCTTTTCTGAATCATGCTGGCTCCTTTGGCTGTACAGCGTTTAATTTTTCTTGAACTCTTCATCAGTACCTACACAAAGATCTTGTAGATGATTAGCAACAAATTTATCGACCTGTAGCTCTTAACTTCATCTCTGACTCCTGTTTTGTTGAATAGAATCATTGATGCGATGGTCCAATCGTCTGGAACTTTAAGTTCTTTCAGATCGCTTCAAAACAAGCGTGTTAATGTCTTTCTCACTGTTTAACCCCTCCTGATTCCATGAGTTTCACTATAAAACTGTCTTCACTTAGATACCTTCCTCGTTTTGCTTGTTTTATTGGTTTTCACTTTCTACGGCAAGATATCCAGAGTTTCGTTAGCTTCATTTATATCTTCAAATCCCTTATTGTCATCTATGGATTACCGTAACAAATTAACATAGTATTTATTCGTTTTGCAACCTTTTCTTATGATAGCGAGGATGGAATCTTTGCTTTGAAATTGAAATAAATCAGAATCGATTAGCCGCAGCAGTAGTCCAGGAGTCATTGACCGAAGCTCAAGAGATTGACATTTTATTCTAAAAATCTGGCATAGAGTGTAAACAATAATGTAAAGTACAGTATGGTACAAATTAATAATTAAAATTAAGTCACTTAACTAGACTAATTAAATGATGAACTAAAATATAATTAACCTAACAGCAGCAGAAAATGGGAAGCGCCAAACTTTCCTCAGGTAAATACTCTACAAAATCAGTATTGATTAACTGTAAATTCTTACTGTATACACATCATAAGTTATTTCTGCGCCGGAGTATGTTAAGTACTGAATGTTCTCCTCTGGTCTTAAATGGCCTCCTGAGCAATTGGAAGCAACGGGCATTAAAATACGCCATGATATTTTGTCTTGGATGAATCATTTTCTACTGTACATTTATGCTGATACGTTAGTGTTTTCAGCTCTTGTAAATCATCAGAAGGTCTGTCGTTTGCAATTTCTTCGATTTGGTCTGTTCCAGCAGTTTTCCCTTTCAGTGACTCGATCGAGATATTAGTTGTTTTCTGTGGGTATTATGTAACTAGGTCAAGAATCATTTTATCTCTATGCTACTTAAAGCTACTTCTTAAACGTTTTTAGTAATCTGTGTCTGACTTGTAATTCAGCCCATTCTTGCGTTTGCAATGTTGCAATCACATTCGACTGCAAGTGACAATCATTCAGTTCATTACCTGCTGAAAATGTTTATTTTATTACAGCCGGCTGCAGTAATTGCATTTCAGTTCTATTCGTTTTTTAGTTTCTTTAGTTTGTTCATTCATTCATTGCTCGATCTATCCTATACTCATGTTGCCAAAGCTCTTAACTTCAAGCATAATTAACCTGAACTTCTTATTAACAGCAAGACGTTGTCATGAAGGTTGGTCCGTTTTGCTTGCATTCATTTATTAAATCATCGATTGATTAACTGATTCATTTTTTAATTTATTCATAGATTCAGTCGCTCATTCATTTATTCGTTTTCAAGCTTGCTATTATTTTTCGGTCCTGGTGTAGCATCTTCAACAAGTTATCGGTTACTGTTAATCGTCTAAATATTCTATTAATCGAATAAGCCGTATGCGCTGAATTTCAAAGTGCAGCACTGATGAATGCTGATATTGTGCTGAGATTGTCTGGCTGTTATGAATTTTGTATCTTTCATACATACAGTATTCGTGACGGTTTTTGTTTAACGGTATTAAATTGCTTTTTTGTAGCACCAAGCCCGTCATCGCACATGACCCATTTGATGCGCATTTGTGTGGATCGCACACTGGGCAGCACCGACAAATGGTTCTATGTACGACCCTCGCAGGTCGGTTGTCCTGAGGAGTTGAATGACCTCGGAACCCACGATCGACCTTACACATTCGTGACGGGAGACGCACGCGAGTTAGTTTTCGTCGCCCAGATGCCGAACCCGAAAGAAAACGTCAATTTGGAGTACAGCAGGTGGTTTCAGACTCTGTTAGGTCTTTTGCTGGTTGACACGGAATATTCGGATCAGCCTCAATGGAAGATGGGTACGTTCCGTTGGCGGCTTTAGCCGCTTTAGTGAGTTTCGTTATTTGGACAGCGTAAAATCACGACCTGTTCAGGAGAGGACCCAGAACTGAGGTTAGAAGTTCGAATGGGATATCGGACGCACGATGATCCAGCTCATGTCTGGCACGAACTCGCTTCAGCTACGGTATCGAGAAAATTGCAATGCACTGCCGACCCTTCTCACGTAAGACATTGCTGTTGTGATGATTAAAATACTCTTTTTTTGAAATTGGAGAGAACTCACTTTTCTGATAAAATAGTGTATGAGATAAATTTATCTAGGAAGAAGAGGTGACTGCATGTAAAAACTTACTGATTTTGGGAGTGCAGTACTGGAAAAAATCGTGTTTGAAACTTCTGTTGATAACCAATGACGAATCAGCATGGGGACAGTTCGTCTGATTCTAGAGTTTGCGGTAAACTACTGGATTAAGGGTAAATGGAATGTTTCTGACGACTTAAATTCGATTTCTAATGCTTCAGTATCCTTAGTATCAAAATGCTAATGCTCGCAATTATTTGATTATTTTTTTAATACTTAAGGGTATGAATAGCTGCAGGGGCCTAGACCCAAGCTACCGGAGACCCAGATCTTTCATAACCTGTCTCCATTAATGCCATCGACAGTACAATCCACATTCAACCCATAAGTCCGCAAATTTTCTGGGGTTCGTCGTTGGCCTATTGTTTTTGGGTTTTGTAAAAAGACAGGTCTTAAAAAATTCCGTAATTCATGATTAGAATACCCCACCTCTTCCTCCCGCCGACTGGAATACTTTGCCATATGCCGTTTCATAATTTAGTCCTTTCTAACCTTTTGACTGCGATTGAATTTAGTCTTTAGGGAGCATCTCTTGCATAGTATAAATGCTATTCGATGTATTAAAACTTTACTATGTAACAGGCATATATCTTAAAAAATATCATAAATTATGTAGTCTTTGTAATGTGGTATCTTACTTTTAGAGACGTTATGAGTTTTATTTCGCCTGCGAACCAGTGGAGTTGTTTGAACTCGGCTCCTGCGATTATCCGTTCTATTTGCTGAATATTCGTATTCCTGGTGGAAACGAATCGTCGAGATACAATAAGCACATCGGCCGATTGACAGGTCTTTCGATCATAGTACGTTATTTAATATTCAGGTGACATTTATATGATCTGAGGAAGTAGGATTAAATGCATGTTTTCTAAGACCAGGTTTACTTTTATATTGCGCCGTTGCTTGTTTTTAGTTACCTGACGTGTATTTAAGGACGCATGAACTTTTCCACGGTTTTCGATTGTGACTACGAACCCTGACGGAAGAATTTGTTTGAGTCTTCGTATTTATTAATCCGTTAAGGATGCATGCTGCATTCTTGTTACATGTGTTCAATCTCCGAATCGTCATGATGACGCTGGAACTAATATGAAACACCATCAGGAGATCCAAGACTGTGAAATGGGTGGCATCAACACATCGAAGTAGAAATATCTTTTTCGTCTTAATCCAATTAATGAAAACGAAGGAAATGCGGTTCAACACCTTTGCCCTATGGGACATCATATGTAAGTCGCAGCATTAACACACAGAGATACATACATATGTACGTGAATGCATAGATATCTCCATAAATACCTACATATGTATATAATTTCATCCATCCATACATGCATTCATCGATACAGACGTTCATTCATACATAGACACTCGCGTATATTGATAAAGATGTTTAAATAGCCGCATATGTACATAAGCACATTCATCCATATATGCATACATACATGCATACTTATATACGTAAATACAAATGTGTACTGTCAGCTATTGAGAAACTTCAGACTGATGGCTGACCATAAATAAAACTGTAGGCATGCTTATGAGGAACTCCGTCATATGAAAAATCGTTGGCATCAAACAAAATATAGCATTAGCCGATGTAAGGTGCTGTGATTATACATGCTGCACGTGTTCGCGTGTGAATATCACGGATCCATGACTTGCTTGAATGGCTCCTAAGCATCATATATCATGGAAAGGTAAGGGAAAGTTCATACACACTGGGATGTATTTACATAATTGGAAGTCATTAGTGGCAGTCTTCATTTATCAACCAAGGTATTTCAGTATATGAGAATTTATGATTCAGAATCAAAGGTCTTGGTCAGGCGCCATTTGCTCTTTTGAGGTAAAAAAACGAACACCAACTTTGTGGAACGGCGAACAGGAAACTGTGCCTTATAGTCGCCACCAAGCTACAGATTTAGTATTAAACAATTACAGGGTACTTTTGGCTAATAACACGTTAACGGAGGTTAGAGCTGCACTGTAAACACCATGACAGTATGACTGGTTAATCATGAGAAGAGAAGTGTGAACAAGACTAGCATGTCAACAGTTACACACTTTTCTTTGGATATTTTTCATGCAGCTTCTACACCGTTGTGTGCTTGACGTTCAGTGCAATGCTCCATGGTTATTTTAGGATCACTAGCCCAGAGTTTCTCGATTGTTTTTCACGTAGTGATACTCATTTGTCAACAAGGCAGGATGAAACGCGAGTGTCCTGACCGACTGCCCAATCTATTGTCTGTCAGTTGTGAGTTTGATGGTGTATGGGAGTACTAGAATGGTATCCGGTTAGGTAGAGTTATCGTTTTGGTACGTTGAATTCAGTAGTTGTTCAGTAGTTGCCAATTAAGTTTTTTTCCAGCCAGTGCTAGAGTAAACAGCGATTAATGCTGTATGTGAATATAAAATACTTTATTACTATTTTGTTATTCCTATTTATTTCTACTTTAATTTTTACTGTATTTTTATGTAAGTTTTTTAGAGTTGTTGAGCCTACTTTTTGTTAATTTACTATTCTATCTTTTAATAGCTAGCGTAATATTAGTTTTAGTTTCCGATATTTATTTTAATTTGTACCTAAATCCTACTTGCTGCAGAGTTTACTTTACCTGTTAACATTGAAAATGTTTGTTTTTATTAAAATTCGAGTACACCATGGAAAGCAACAGTTGGAATAATGAGTCAGCGGAGGA